TGAAAGATGTATTTGATAGATTACCAATCTATCGAGGAGTGGCTGATCTAATCTGGCTAATGATCACAGGAGACGTTGAGCACGCCATTCGAAACTGTGATCTGGTGTGCGTGTATGACCGAGCGCCTTCAGCTAAATAAGTCCATTAAAACTAATATGGTCAGCATCGAATGTCGAACACTTACAGAGCTATTGATTTTGGGAATTTATTTACAGCTACAACATGCAGTTCTAGCATCTTGAAATGAACAGTTCGTTATTCCTAACAGCTCTCTTTCCAGACCCAATATGTTAATTCTTGAAATTGATCGATCTCTCAGCTGTACATGAAGTTGATCACTGAAATTGCATTAGGCAGCTTGTCCTTACGATTCAAGGATGAATTACTATGATAATCAGAAGTATTTGAATTGTAGTATAAACTAGTAATCTCAGGAATAACGCAATTTAATCAAGAAGTACAAGAGGAGCACAAACGAATGTATTGTATTTGGAATTCAAAATTAAAACAGTCATCGATACAAAAAAGTCATTGATTTATTTAAACATCACATCCGCCACAGCTCGAATTGGAGTGTGTCTGCAATCAATTGTTCGTCTTCTTCTTCAGTTCATTCACTGCTTCGCAGTTAATACATGCAGTTCTAGCATCTTGAAAAGAACAGTTCGGCATTCTTAAAAGCTCATTTTCCAGACCCGGTATGTTAATTCCAGCAATCAATCGATCTCTCAGCTGTACATGAAGTTGATCACTGAAATTGCATTTCGCAGTTTGTCTTTGCAATTCAAGGATGAAGTTCTTAACCTTCTGGTTATCCTGACGAATCATCTTATGAAATTTTGCACTCTCACGACATTCAAAACTGGTGCACTTCACATGATTTAATAGTAATTCCTTGAGAGTTGAATATGGAAGTGCGATCGACTTATCTGGATATGCCAAGGTTTTTGTGGTGGGCCAAAAGTATGATAACCAAAAAAAAATAGCAACAAAAATATTACGTCTAAAGTTTATGTATCAACTAACAGTTAATAAGTTAATTACACATAGATAAAATAAGGGACGTTACTTAAGTCTTCGGGCTATTGCGTGTTCGGCTGAGTTTGGTCCAAATAATCCACAATTATAAAAGATTAGTAATCCCAATATGGACGATATAGATCCAGTAGGTTTACCAAGCGTAGAATTCAATAAGAATGTCACAATTGTCTATAAATATAGATGATATGCAATGAATATTTCATTTAACATATTTGCAGATATAGCAGAACGATGCAGATGTGAATTAGAGTGTATTTATTGAGGAGCAGTAACAGTGCCACGATATGTTGTACTCAAAACGGAAGGAAGTCAAGTTACAAGGGTTCAAAGTAATACACTTAAACAACAAGTACAATTGTTTAATGCTATATGTACAGAATATGAAAATACATGAGTAAACTATGAAAAATTATTTACAAAATAGGTTTTATGGTCCTATCTCCACATAGCTCCCCCCAGAGTGTCCGGAGGTAACACTGATTACAATATGAAGAACAAAAATTGAGAAATACTGTGTATAAATGTACATAAAATAATATTTACTGTAATAAGGGAAAAAAGGTGGAGATAGGAATAAATGGCACGTTACTAATATAAGCTATGCTACGCAAAATGAAACTGAGAAACAAACATTACAAATTTTTGGTTTGCTAATTATAATAATAACAATAATAATAATAATAAAATGTGCAAAACTGTTAATAGAGTCATAAAATAATAAATAAAAAATTGGATGAATTGAATAAATAGTTAGTTAGCATTCACTCGTTTATTACTATGACAATTTTTCTTATTAAAAAAAATTGGCAAAACCAGTGATAATAAATAAATGTAGTTATTAAATGTACATGTAAGGAAAATAAATAGCTTTTATTAGACAATTGAGTAACAACAATAAAATGCGTGTAATTGAATCGATTTTTGTTAGTCGGAGAAATGTACGTAGCGCTTAGGTTTTTTTACAAACCTACCGGAGCGAGTTAAAGACGGTTTAAGATGAAACTTGTCCTCTTCTATTGGCTTATCAGGAACAGAAGGGAGGGGTTGTTGTTCTTCGATTTTAACCTCTTTAAGGTGAGTCGGTTCGTAAAACGCTGGTTTGTTTCCATCAATGGAAATAGTTTCTTTGTCCCCATTTCGAATGATAATAAAATGTTTGGGAGTACGTTTGATTACTATATAAGGACCTTCGTATGGTGGTTTTAGTGGCTTTTTGACAGCGTCAACTCGAACGAAAACGAATTTGCAGGTTTCAAGGTTTTTATCTAGTTGCACCAGGTTGCTATGTTGTCGCGGGGGTATTGGTTTAATATTCTGCATCGTCTGTAATAAACGGCTTGCAAAACGGGAAGGATCTCCTATCGTTGTAGATTCGCAATTGACTAATTGGCCTGGTAATGTTAATGTTGTACCGTAGACTAGTTCGGCAGCAGTGCATCAAATGTCTTCTTCAATAGTGGAATGAATACCGAGGAGTACGAGTGGTGAGGCATCGCTCCATTTCGTAGGATCAGCTTGAGTCGTCAGCGAGCTTTTCAATTGGCGATGAAATCTTTCAACCATGCCATTAGCTGCTGGATGGTAAGCCATTGTTTTGATGTGGTTGATGTGGAGTCTGGTGAATTCCTGAAATAAAATGGATTGAAATTGGGGGCCACGATCAGTAGTGATAATTGCGAATACTCCGTAGTTCGATATCCATCGGTCGAGAAAAACTGACGCAACTGTCTCTGCCGATGTGTCTTTAATGGGGCATGCAATCACCCATCGAGTGAACCTGTCCACCACAGTGAGAATGTGAGTGAAAGAGTTCGACGGTTGCAGGAGCCCAACCAAATCCAAGTGAATATGTTGAAAACGTCTGTCGGGGGTATGAAATTCCCCAATTGGGCTGATTGTGTGTCTCTGGACTTTACTCCGCTGACATTGTATGCAGTTTCGTGCCCATCGTTTTATATCGGAGTTCATTTTGGGCCAGACAAAACTTTCGGTGGTCAGCTTTGTGGTGGCTCTGATACCTGGATGCGAGAGTCCATGTAGTTGTTGAAATATCTTTCTGCGTCAAGTAAATGGGACGAAGGGACGATTGTTGCTCGTCGAAGTGTCACAAATGATAGATGTATCTGAGTAGGGAATGGGTACCGATTTTAGATTCAAGCTAGACTTTTCTCTACAGGCCTTCAATTCTGCGTCGTCTGCTTGTAATTTGGCTAAGGTTTCAAGGCTGATGTCATGGTTAAGTACCGTCATATTGATATCCTTTCTAGACAGTGCGTCTGCAACAATGTTGGTATGACCCTTGATAAACTGGATGTCCGTGGTGAATTGCGAGATACAATCGAGCTGTCTCGCTTCGCGTGGAGAATGTTTATCATATGACATATTAAATGAGAAGCACAGGGGTTTATGGTCCGTCATAACGGTAAAGTCACGACCCTGTAGTAAAAAATTGAAATGTTTAACAGCTAAGTACATGGTTAAAAGTTCTCGTCCAAATGTGCTGTACCGCTCTTGAGCGGGTGATAACCGTTTAGAGAAAAAAGCTATTGGTGTGATCCTGTTATTAACTCGTTGTTGTAGCACTGCCCCTACGGCTTTTTGAGATGCGTCCGTACACAAGAGCAGATGCGTTTTGGGGTCAGTGTTTAGGTGTTGTAACATAGTAGCGTCAGTGATCAAGTTTTTAGCCTTTTCGAATGCTATTTTGGCGTCAGAGGGTAAGTGGAATAGTTGGTTCTTATTTTTGCTACTCGGTTTATCCTCTTTCAGCAGGTCTGTTAAGGGTTGTAGGACATCAGCACAATTGGGCAGAAATCGTCGATAAAAATTTGATGCTCCCAGGAAACGACGTAGTGCCTAAACAGAAGTAGGCTCAGGGTAGTTGATTATGGCTTCTACTTTCTTTGGAAGGGGTTTAATTCCCTGAGAGTCTATGTAATGACCGAGGAACTCCAACACTGAAACACCAAATATACAATTTGAGGGATTAATCACGACGCCATAACTTTTGAAACGCTCAAAGAGAATCTGTAAGTGCTGAATATGTTCTTCCAAGGAAGAGCTAGCGATTAGGACGTCATCGATGTAAACAAATACGAAATCTAAACCTCGCGTGACTTCATCCATAAATCGTTGGAATGTTTGCGCAGCATTCTTAAGCCCAAATGGCATCCTCAAGAATTCAAACAACTCAAAAGGTGTGATTACGGCTGTTTTTTCAATATCCTCAGGTGCCATTGGGATCTGATGATAAGCTCTGACTAAGTCTAGTTTTGAAAAAAATCAGTTTACCGTGCAGGTTTAGTGAAAAATCATGTAGATGAGGAATAGGATATCTGTCTGGAACTGTCTGATTATTCAAACGTCTATAATCTCCACAAGGGCGCCAATCTTGATCTTTTTTGGGAACCATGTGCAGTGGCGAGGCTCAAGGGCTATTAGACTGTCGGATTATCCCTAGTTGCATCATATGTTCAAATTCTCTTTTAGCGGACTGCAACTTATTGGGTGGTAGTCTCCTCGCCTTGGCGCAGATAGGTGGACCAGTTGTAGTGATAGTATGTTGAACATGGTGTGTGGAGTTTTCAGTTTGATAATCGGCTTTCGTTATACATTCATACTTCGATAGAAGATCGGTAAAAGTTTGACTATCAGGTCTAAGCAATCGGACACCATAAGTTTCATAATTGCAGGTGATTGTTCCGTTGACCTGTAGACTTGTATTCACGTCGATAAGTTTCCTTTTTCTCATATCGACAAGGAGATTGTAGTTACTAAGAAAATCGGCTCCAAGGATGGGTTGTTTAACTTCTGCAACGATGAAAACCCATGTAAAACGTCTACGGAGACCGATGTCTAAGATGAGTGATTGCTCGCCATACGTTTTAATAATAGAATTGTTTGCTGCCACTAATGATAATTTGGCGTGTTCGGAGTGCCGTCGTCGGGAAAGATGAATTGGGAGTATGCTTATTTCGGCTCCAGTACCTATTAGAAAATCTGAGCCCGAAATACGATCACTAACATGAAATAGACGGCTTGAGTTGTGGCCAGAGTCAGGCGCCACCATTACTACCTGGCCGGACCGTTTCCCTGGTTATCAGTGCTGGGTGAGGGGAATGCGCACGGACGTGTACAACGCCGTGCTTTTGTGCCGAATTTAGTATGATACCAACAAATTTCGGATGTTCGTTTAGGTGATCGTGGTCTAGAACGTGATCTCTGTCTGAATTGGGGTCCTACTTGTCTGGCCTGCACCGTTGCTACAGTGGTTTGCAGTGACTCAAGTTGACTCGTTAATTGAGATAATTGTCTTTGAATAGAGTTTAAGTAGCTGACATCAGCTGCTCCATACGGCTGCATCGTATTTGTATAGTGGTTATCATGGCAGACTTCCATTACCTTATCCGCCATATCAGCTAAATCATCGAGGGGGGAAGACTTCCCCAAGGCACTTAGGATTTTTCTGACACTGCGTGGTAATCGGTTGAACCACATTTGTTTGAGGAGGGCTTCGTCTAGTTTATAAGGGCCCACAAGTTGTTTCATGTGTCGAAGTAGCTGGGAAGGTCTTTTATCTCCCAGGTCACATGCATTCAAAAGTTGTTGCAATCTTGTCTCATTTGAGACTGTTGTTCGCTGAATTAAAGCCGCTTTTCATTTATCATACGGCTCGGTTTCCGGAACCTGGTCGATAAGGTCTCCAACTTCGGCTGCAATTTCGGTCGGGAGTGAGCCCACCACATAAGCGTACTTTGATGCTTGGGAACGTATACCCCTGGACTGGAATAAGGCTTCAATTTGAGCAAACCAGATTCTAGGATTATTCACTCCATATGGTGGAAGCTTAAATTCAGAAATGGCATTGACTGGACTAAATATAATGTCAGTAAAGTTAGATGATGAACTATGAGTGGTTACTGGAACAGGATCCATATCACTAAGCTTAGGTGGAGAGTACATTAAGTTAAGTATGAGCTAGAGTATCGTACAATGGGCGAATAAAGAATATAACAATGGGATAAATGCGAGATAATAAAATACTGGGCTCACCAAATAATTGTGGTGGACCAAAAGTATGATAACCAAAATAGGGCGAGACTAAAGAACATGGACGACCTTTGAACGAATCTTAAATGACCTTGAGAAATATTAGCCAATCAGAAGACAGGTATCATACAGTGAAAATATATTATACAAAACTCAAAAATTAAAGGGGATATTGTTCTTTTACATGAATCAAAAACTTATCAAGGTCAGATATAGGTTCAGAAGTTATGAAATCATAGTGCATACGGCATAGGAGCTCATCCTTGTGGCTCCATAGTAGTCGACCTCTGGAACCATGATAAAGTCCCGAAAATTCTTTCAGCCTCGACCACATAGTTTTAGTGTTGTCGGTATGTTGGTATGGTTTAGGATTTAGGATTAGGGTTAAGGTTTAGGGTTACGGTTTAAGGTTAAAGATGAGACTATAAATTATGGACGGTATTTGAGCGACGCTAGAGTGAATCTGAGAGTGTCAATGTAACAACTAAGACTAAATGAGGGTTATAAACCCGTGTGAAGAATTCAAATTATGATTTACAGTTCATAGTTAAGGTTAGGAATTATACTTAGGGTTTTCATCACGAACTGACATCAGTTATAATGCCACAACTCTATCCAAATGTATAATTCAATTTTGCGCCAAAATCTTATGATAACTTATCTTGTAGACGCTTAATTATCATGTTTTCTCTAAAATCCGTTCTAAACCGACCGTACGTAAGTGTCAGGTACCGAACTTAGCGCTGTGACCTTGAAAACCCGCGAAAGCTTCTGATTGGCTCGTCCATGTACTTTAGTCTCGCCAAAATAAGGGACGTTACTTAAGTCTTCGGGCTATTGCGTGTTCGGCTGAGTTTGGTCCAAATAATCCACAATTATAAAAGATTAGTAATCCCAATATGGACGATATAGATCCAGTAGGTTTACCAAGCGTAGAATTCAATAAGAATGTCACAATTGTCTATAAATATAGATGATATGCAATGAATATTTCATTTAACATATTTGCAGATATAGCAGAACGATGCAGATGTGAATTAGAGTGTATTTATTGAGGAGCAGTAACAGTGCCACGATATGTTGTACTCAAAACGGAAGGAAGTCAAGTTACAAGGGTTCAAAGTAATACACTTAAACAACAAGTACAATTGTTTAATGCTATATGTACAGAATATGAAAATACATGAGTAAACTATGAAAAATTATTTACAAAATAGGTTTTATGGTCTTATCTCCACATTTTTAGTAAACTGTAGGCTTCTTGACCGATGAATGTAAGAAAATGTGCCACAATTTTGTCACCCTTCATATCTTACTTGGTCATGCTCCATATCTCAAACCTTTCAAGGTAATCCTCAAAAGCTTCAGAAGTTGAATGAATGTCCAACTGTTGTATCGCAGGCTCCATCGCGACGCCAATATGATAATCAGAAGTATTTGAATTGTAGTATAAACTAGTAATCCCAGGAATAACGCAATTTAATCAAGAAGTACAAGGGGAGCACAAACGAATGTATTGTATTTGGAATTCAAATTTACAACAGTCATCGGTACAAAAAAGTTATTGATTTATTTAAACATCACAATTACCCAACCTTTTAGTTATTCTGAGGAATCATCTTATGAAATTTTACACTCTCGCGACACTCAAAACTGGTGCACTTTACATGATTTAACATTCGTTCCTTAATAGTTGCATAAGGAAGTGAGATAGGCTTTTCTGGGTATTTCAGAGTTTTTAATAAATTGTGGGCTTCTTTACTGATAAATGTAAAGAGATGTGCCGCAGTTTTATCATCTTTCACACCTTTCTTAGTCATGATCCATATCTAAAACCTTTCCAAATAATCTTCAAAAAGCCTCAGAAGTTGAATGGATGTCTAACTGTTCCGTCACATGCTCCATCTCAACGCCAATTCGATAAAGTGAGAGTATTTAAATTATAATACAAATTAGGAATTCCAGAAATAACAATACTTAACCAAGAAATACTAGATGAGCACGAACGAATGTATTGTATTTGGAATTCGAAATCAAGCAGTCATCAAGTACAGAGGAATCATTAGTTCATACAAACACCACAGTTCAGGGTTTTGATTTTCTACAAGGTGGATTCGCTATATCCGTTAAACAGGTTTAAGTTCTGGGAGTTCGTGTTTTGTAGTTTCATTTTCTTGGCACATTTTCTGACACATCATAGCAGTCAATGGGACTTACCTTACAATGGCTATATTAGTGTTTTAACTGTTTTGAGATGCAGAGCAGAGTTCTGACACCGTTTTCTGTACCCAAGCATTAGAAGCCACGCACCACAATGAAAACACCGGTTTTCATCCAACTTTTATTGAGAGCATAGTTAAATGAGGTATACAGTTCGACAAAGTTTATTTTAACAGGAAGTTAAACAGAAGGATACAAGTGCAATAAAACACACACTTTTCAAAGTATTCAATGAATTAGTGTCACAAATATGTATAAAAACGAAAGAAAATTGAACTGTTATAATAATTTATGATGGACCAAAGAAATGCGCAGAAACTGCATGTAAAATCCGTCCTATGAATATGGTTATGGATTTTATATTTGCAACTGACTGAACATGTTCCTGCGTCACTTATTAAGAACATGAAAAGCTGAAAAGAAGGTTGACCTGACAGAAAAAAAGTATGATGAAACAGACTATTTCTAAAACTGGTTCTTTACTTGCAAAACATACATCCAAACTTTGAGAGGGATTTTCACACACAAAACGTTTCAAAATGGATCTTAAAAAAGAGTGTTATCTAACTGGCAAGAATAAAAAAATACAAAAGGCTTATGTAAATTTGACAATATTATAAGGAAGAAACAATAACTGAAAATAACTTCGGCATGACCTAGCTGAAGTTATATTACTTCTATTTGACTTTAATAAGGTGTTTCAATGTATTTTTAAATAGCCATTAACCTCACATTAAACGCAACTTCGTCCGTGAATTCTGCATGTTGGTAGTTCATAATAAATATCCGTTAGACAGTTTTCTTACAAGTCAGAGCGACTTAAATGATTAGATGCCTTACGATATAAATTATTCCTACTAGATACAATCAAGACTAGTTTTACAATTTAATAAATATCTAAAACTAGGGAGATACCTTCATACATCTCACATCGTGAGATAGCCGTTGCCTATTTGAATGAAATAGAATGTGGTAGACACCGTTCATTCATAACCTACCGAGTGATGGAGTTATTTAGCTGTCATTGGTTTTATAAGTACTAAGATTTGCACCCACTATAATCTAAATAATACTTAATATCACTGAATTCTGAATCGAATAATATTCACTCAAGGAAATTTATTTGAAAATTTTGATCAAATTAAATGATTGAATAAGATGTTTTCTACATTATCAGTAAAACAGGACTACTTCTTTTTTAATACCACCCAGTTCGGTCTAAGTTTTAAAACTTATCAACAGTTCATACAACTTTAATGTTTTAAAGTCGATTCGACTGTGGTCAAATAAATATTCCATCATAATGTCCTTTTCGTGGAGTATAAGTCGTTTTAAAGTTAACGTGTTTTACTAGTATTCGGAACTATATTGCTCTATTTAACATATGTCATAACAAATTGAATTTAATGTAGTTTAATAAAAAGCTATAGACTGACATATATAGTTTTGTACAAAATCTTATTTACAAACTAATGATACTACTTATATACCCAAATTATAGTAGATTTAGTAAAATCTAAACCTGTAATACAGTAGTTGAAAATTAAACATTAACTAACAAACCACTGTTCATTTGATCATCTTAGAATTATTAAGCTTTCACAATCTCTGTCTTTTTTTAACAAGTACCTTCTTAAATAACAGAATTACTTACCTGGATAATCAGTTTCTAAACACAAAATAATTATTCTATTTATGCTAGTTGATTTGAAGAATGAAACTTTCATCATTTGATATTGTTATCATGATTTATTTCTAGATACCTTTATCCATATACTTTCAAGTTAAACTTTCCTAAATATTGAACAAATATATGACAGAATGGGTATGACAGATAGATAGGTAGGTAGGTTGATCAACTATTTATTTATCAAAGCACTTACTTAGAAAAGTGAAATAAATGTAAATATTTTGAATTAGAAATTATTATTTATTACCAATCCAGTACCCTATAATGGTAAGTGTTTAAGTAAAAGAAATAAAACTAAAAAGTCAAACAGAGATGTAGATAAGAAGTGATGCTATCACATTGACAAGATTAAATGAAGAAAACAGTGAATTAACATACATTTGGTAAAATAATATTCATATTCGATAAGAAATGATGAAGTGAATTTTGACTTTTATAATTCCAACATGATCTAATGTCTGTCTGGAGCATGCTGAAGTGTCCTTTTTAAATAAATTATCTTTGTCTTATTTAATTCATCTCATAATATTTAAACACTTGGTATGTACTTGAAAATCATTGGTAAAAATTGTCTGTCTAGCATATATATATAACTTATTTAAAGTATTTCTGGAGCGACATTACTGAATGGCGAAGTCAGGAAGAAAATATTAACATAAAATTAGCATTTGTTGACACTGATAAGTAACGTACATCTTAAAATACTAGTTAATTAACACTTAAACAGATCACTGAGCAGTGCTCAATCAGCTGTGAACATAGAATCCTATCGATAAGCGTCGAGTGACTAGACAGACATAACGTTGGTCACTACTCAGTGATGAGCAACTAATTTCAAATGTCTCAGTCCTACAAGACATCATTTGACAATAGTAACGTCTTATGCTTTTGAACTGGGAGACGATGATTATAATCCAATAGGGCGCATCAATTTTTTCCGAAGTTATGGAAGGATCCTGCTTAAAGTAAAGTTGTTCTGTTTTAATTTATCTTCGTCTTTGTGAAACACTAAGTCTTCTACTGAACTCTTCTGCATCCCTGGTGGGTTTTTTCGTCGGGAATTATTGGTAAAGTGTGTTTGTGTCAGTCGTTTTTATATTGCGTTGGTGATAGGTTTCTTCCATACTGCG